ACATTTCCCTCAGCTGACACCTCCCCCTCAATGGGGCTATTTCAGGGTGGTATTTTTTCGTACTTACTAACGCAACCCAACAGCTAAATATGGTCCAGAGTATTTCTTTTTTCTTCTAACTTGCTTCCTCCTCTCTTACCATTCTGATCAGCTCAGGATATTTTAAGTTTTTGTCTGTCTTTTGTCCATGTCCTCATCTGGATCATCAATATGGGTCTAAGGGCTGTGCTCCTTGTAAAACCTGCTGAACTTCTGATCTTGTCTACTGTGTTGGGGTCTGATACCTTTCTTTGTTAACAGCTGATGTGTAATCTCATCCAGGCGCTATTATAGTACTCAGACAATTTCTTACTCCTTTTGCTGATAGGGGTGTTCAAGGTTTTTAACATAAGATCTGAGATCTTATCAGTCTTCCCAGAGAAAACATCTTGTAAAAAACACTGAGGTAGGTATCTGGCCCAGTACAGTCTCTGGTTGGCTGAGCTTTAGGTTTCTGCGCACTGCCCTTGAAGCTGCTTCCTTAAACTTTCATAGAGATTCGCTGTTTACTTTTGTGTCTCAGAGAGCATCCCATTCACTTAACGCCTGTATGGCCAGTTCCCAATCCATTCTCAAAATCATCTTCTCACCACTGGTGTAGGTTGCTTTCCAGAGAAAGGAATCGCAAGTTTGCGATATTCAGATGTATTGTTTAATGGAATAGATGTCAAAACAATGTCTCTACTAGGAGTCCTGAGGGTATTCAAAATATAAAATTTCCCCCCCCACAAAAACTTCTATTGCCAACAGTAGTCTGGTTGAAGAATCAGATTCAGCGTTCTGTATGCCAGTATTTGCATAGGAGGATACATTTGACCCTTTGGCAGGCTCCATCCTCACGTCTTTGGGTGAGCTAGAGTATAGCTAAATCAGGTTATGGTGGAGCTAAATATCCCAGACGAGCCCACCAAATGTAGCATCACTTGGGTGGAATCTTGGCTAGATATATAGTTCAGCTCCCACCTGAATCGGTGACACTTTCCGATTATACCCAGAACACTTGTTGACACTCTGAGAATATTTTTTATGGGTTTTATTGAGAAGACAAACCCTGCAAAGAACTAGCTGATTTAAACACAGGTAATGTTTACATAAAACACAGATACCTCTTTGCTTAACACTAGTTTAGTAAGAAGTCACAAATCACTTGCACAAAGACTCCAAAAACTGACTTGAGTATCACACTGACTAGGGTGATATGAGAGTGACATTGACACATTAAACAATAACGGTTGTAATGGGATTTAGCAGCTTATTGACATTTGCTATAGCTAAGTACTATTCTAGAGGAGCAGAGATATGTTCCTACCTAGCATACTGGTTGCCAGTGAGTTGAATCTTACAGTTCCCAACGTTGGGGCCGTTTAATCAACTGGCAAAAGAGCGCTCTCACTGAGCGCTCTGCCAGACAACATGTTGTGGTACTCCCGGAAAGGTCCCGGTACGCTCTTTCGATACGGGACCTTTCCCGTATCATTTGACTGCCGTGACGTAGTGCATCACGGCGGTAAGACATGATTCCTAAAACCCCCCCACGCCCCACCGCCCCGGCCTCCGGTAGCCTGAATTCTTATTAAGGGCCGGGAAGTGGCGTCGAAGAGGAAGGGAGTTCTAGTCAAGGGATCTTCCAGTGAACATTGCAATAGAAAAGAACAAACTTTCCGAACATAATCTTTTACCTGTCAGGGCTCCCAGGATCATGACCAGAGGTTGTTTGTGTGACTGTAAGCAGGGAAACGCAGACCTCAGAGTATGTTCATAAACAATATAATTTCTTAACACTAAAACAGTACAACATAAACGCAGTGCAATACTAAAACATAGATATACCCGTGCAAACAAACCAAACACCAACAGATAACAGTATCATACAAGCGTGTAAGCGTCGTCAGGCAGGCCGGGTTCAATATCTAATTGGGCAGGGTAGGTACATGGGGAGCAAGCGGAGACTTGGTCGGGGTCACAGGCCAGGTTCAGCAGGTAGCAAGCAGCATAGTACAGAGGGTTCAGTCCGATCGGGCTGGTCCGGAGGTCGTACAAGCCAGGGATCAGACCAGGTAAGCAAGTCAGCGTAGTACAGGAGGGTCAGATACAGAGTGGGATGGTCCAAGGGTCACAAGACAGTATCAGAGCAGGAGAATGGTCAGCAAAGGGACAACGAAACAGGGGATGCCAGGACAGATACAGGGACCTCAGGACATACACAACACCAAGGCCGAGTCTGCAGAGTCTTGGCCATCCCTTAAATACACCAGTATCATCAGTTCCAAGGGGTTTAGTGGCTGAAAGGTTGAGTCTCTGATTGCTGGGAGACCGCTGGCCAGCCCCTGGTACTAGGCAGATTCAAAAGGCAGGTGAGTCCCTCCATTGCTGGCCAGTCCATTCCTAACGTGTACCCCCCCTCAAGGAGCCGGGCCCTCAGGACGCTTCTCAAAAAAGCTCCTAGCTGGGCAAATGATTCCAACGCCCGGGTCTGGCAGAAACTGGCCGGGATATCAAAGACCTGTGCACCACTGGGCAGGGACTTTCCGGGCTGCCGGCACCACCGGGCTGGACTTCGGGCAGAGGCAACATCGGGCAGCAGGCACACGGTGGCAGAGGCACATCGGGTAGGACTGCCGGGGCAGAGGCACATCGGGCAGCGACTCAGGGCAGAGGGCCAACATCGGGCAGGGATCCGGGCAGAGGCCACAATCGGGCAGGACTCCGGGGCTGAGGCACATCGGGCAGGATCTCCGGGCAGAGGCAACATCGGGCTAGGACTGCTCGGGGCAGTGGCCACATCGGGCAGGACTCCCGGGCAGAGGCACTAGTCGGGCAGGATTTTCCGGGCCAGAGGCAACATCGGGCAGGGATCCGTGCAGATGGCACCATCGGATTACCGAGGCGATTAGCAGCAGGGCAGCGGGCACCCAGGCGGATGCAGCAGGCACGGGACCCCCGGGCGGAGCAGCAAGGCAGCCGGGCCCCCAGGAACGCGGGTTGCAGACCAGGCACACGGGCCGGGGCCGGGCGGGGCGACAAAGGCACCGGGCACCCCGGCGGGGCGGCAGGCACGGGCCCCCGGGCGGGGCGAGACAAGGCACCGGCGCCACCTCAGGCGGGTGCGACAGGCATCCGGTGCCCCAGGCGGGGGCCGGACAGGCACACGGGCCCCACTCAGGGCGGTGGCGATACAGGCTACACCGCCCCCCCCCACCCCCCGCCCTAGCACCCCAGGCGGTGACTAGTGCTATTCTCAATGAAAGGGGCGGGCGCCGGATCCCCCAGGCGGAGCGAAGCGACAGGTCTCGGGCCCTCAGGCGGAGCGTGCGGGCGCCGGACGCCCAGGTGGAGCGGACAGGGTCTCGGGCCCTCAGGCGGAGCGGCAGGCGCCGGACCCCCAGGCGGAGCGACAGTGTCTCGGGCCCTCAGGGCGGATGAGCAGGCACTGGGCGCCGGTACAACCCTCCAGGCAAGAGGAGCGGTGCGACAGGTTCTGGGCCCTCAGGCGGTGCGTGCCGGGCGACGGAATCCCCATCTAGGAGGAAGCGGACAGGTCTCCGGTGCTCATCAGGCGGGCGAAGCGGCGGGCGCCGGACCCCCAGCGCGTTGAGCGGACAGGCTCTCGCGGCCCTCAGGCGGAGCGGAGGCGGGCGCACGGCACCCCCAGGAGGGAGCGGAAGGTGTCTCCGGGCCCTCAGGAGGTGCCCCGTCTCAGCGGGTGGGCGGATCCGCGGACCCCCAGGAGGAGCGACAGGTACTCTGAAGGCCCTTACTGCGGAGTGGCCGGTTGTCCGGGACCCCCAGGTAGGAATTTGTCCAGCGGAACAGGTCTCGGCCCTTAAAGCGGAATAGTGGCAGGTGCCGGGACCCCCAGGCGCGGGAGCGACAGGTCTCGGGCCCTCAGTGCGGAGCGACGCGGGTCTCGCGGCCCCTCAGGCGGCATGCGACACAGGGTCTCAGGCCCACAGGCGTGTGGCGAAGCGGGCGCGTGTATCCCCAGGCGGAGCGAGCGGGCGCTGGACCCCCAAGCGGAGCAAGAGGTCTCGGGGCCCCCAGGCGGAGCCGGCGGGGCACCGAGACAACAGGCACGACAGTGGGGCTCCGAGTCACCTGGTATGAACCGCAGGCCACTGTGTCAGACATTGGTATGGTTCATGGCTGGACAGCGGGCATCGGGTCACCAGGCTATCAGGGTCCATTTGGCTCGACAGCGGGCACCGCCGTCATCTGGCAAGGCAGTGGGATCCTCCGATTGTCAACTGGCATGATCCCTTGCGGGCACGTTGGGCAGACATTGAATCGTCTTCGGGCTGGACAGGGGCATCGGGTCACCTCAGGCTATCAGGTCATTTGGCTCTGGACCGCGGGCAGCCGCGGTCATCGCTGGCAAAAGGCAGTGGGCTCCGAGCGTCAACTGCTATTTATGACCAGCGGGCACCGGTGGGCAGACATTGAAATCGTCTGGCTGGACCAGAGGGCACGGGGTCTACAACGCAGGCATCAGTTCATTTGGCTACGACAGAGGGGCACACGCGTATCTGGCAAGGCAGTTGGTCTCCGACGTTCAACAGGCACGACTTGTGGGGTACCGGTGTCATCAGGTATACCGGATTGTCTGGCTCGAGCAGCGGGCATAGGGGTCATCAGGTATGACAGCGAGATATAGAGAGACACTAGGTCACCAGGACATCAGGTCCACATTTGGCTTGCCAGCGCGGCACCGCGTCATCTGGTGCAAGGCAGTGCGGCAACGAGTCAACTAGGTAAGACAGCGGTCTCTTGAGTCAATTGGCTCGACAGCGTGGCATCCGGAATCAGGTACCGGATCATCTGGTATTCAACAGCTTGGGCATCGACGTCAACTGGCCTAATAGGGATCGTCAGGCTGGATCAAGTTTCGATCATGCTGGGTAGAGGCATCAGGCCGTAGTACAGGCATCAGGCTCGAGTACAGGCATCAGGCGAGGAGGAGGCTTCAAGGCCGAGGAGAGGCTTCAGGCCACGAGGGAGAGGCTTCAGGCCGAGTGGAGATGGCTTCAGGCCGAGTATGAAGGCAATCAGGGCCGAGGTTAGTGGGCTTCAGGCCGCAAGTAGAGGCTTCAGGCCGCGTAGAGGCTCAGGCCGCCGTAGGAGGCTTCAGTCTCCGAGTAGAGGCATCAGGCGGTGCGGGGGTGAGTACAGGCATCAGTTCTGAACCACGGAAGGCTAGCAGCTCACCGGTTTGGATACTGGCTGGGATGGTACTGGTTGGAAAGAATTTTCGCTTTTTCTCTGGTTTTAACTTCTGAGGCACTGCAAGTAAATGCAGGTCTGGCAAACGAATGGAGCAGCTGGAGACAAGAGAAGAACTGGAGGATGGAAACAGGAGAAGGGAGCAGTTGCTTACAGAGGGCTTTTTTACAGGGTTAAGGTAGGTAGGATAGGGTTGCAGCGAGTGGGAACTAGGGGGTACTAGTACATTGCGGTAGATAGCCATAGGTATACTGGGCATGTAACTGGAGGAGCTGTTTAGGGTGGGAAATTACAGGAGATTGTAGAGTAAGAAGCAGGACTGTGGTCTTTGTAAGACTGGACTTGTAGCTGGGTGCAACACAATCTGTCCATGTCTGCTAGTAGGGGTTGAACAACGCTGAGCTCTTACACACAAGTCTGTGACTGGTCAATGACTGCACTTGCTCGTGTTATATCAATCTCTCAGTGTCTGTGGTGGAATCATGTGGATATATAAACGCTCCAGAAAGTAACCCACATCATTCCTCTAATTTAACCACAACCTGGGACTCTAACCTGGTCTGCCACTCTAATTGGTGGCAAAAATTCATCCCTGCATTCGGGGAGGGAACACAGATGAAACCAACTTCTGCACAATCCTCAAGTCAATGGCTTGCACTTCTCAGTTGAATACTGTGCCCTGATCTACTAGATAACAAAAACATTAGATGCGAGCCGTATAACTATTCTAGCAATTCATCCCGGGTTGGTTTAATGCTCTCTCAGCGTTTGTTGATAAGGCATACTGCCCTTGTCATCAAACACTAGCAGATATAAAATACTCAACCTCCTCAAGCCTCATCATCCTTCCCGATCAACAAGCCAAGATGGCTTCCCTGTGCAGCCACTTCTGGTCCGGATTGGCCTTGGTGTAATGTCAGTGGCTCCCAGGTATGACCAGAGCGTGTGTTGAACCCTGAGCAGGGAAAAACGCAGACCTCAGATATGTTATATAACAATATATAATTTATTAACACTAACAGTATCAAACATAAAACGCAGCTGCAATACTATAACATTAACCACGAGTGGATGTTGCAAACAAACCCAAACACCCACAGATAACCAGTATCTATACAAGCAAGCGTCGTCAGGGCAAGGCCGGTCTGGTGTCAAATATCCAATTGGGCAGGTAGGTACAGGGGGAGCAAGCGGAGTCATGGTCGGTTTGTCACAAGGCCAGGTTTCAGACAGGTGAAGCAAGCAGCATTAGTACAGAGGGTCAGGCAGAGGGAAGGTCAGGTGTCACAAGCCAGGGATCAGAACAGGGTAAAGCAAGGCACGCGTTAGTACATGAGAGTCAGACAGACGGGATGTTCAGGCGTTCACAAGCCAGGTATCAGAGCAGGAGAAGTCAGCAATAGGATACAGAAACAAGGATGCAGGACAGATACAGGGCCCAGGAACAAACACAAACTCCAAAGGCCCGAGTCTGCAAAGTGCCTAGGCATTCCCTTATATTTACACCAGTATCAATCAATGATTCCAGTTGTTAGCTGGCTGAAAAGGTTGAGTCTCTGATTGCTTGGGAAGCACCCGCTGGCCAGCCATGGTACTGCAGATCACAATGGCCAGGTGAGTCCCACATTGCTGGCAGGTCCATTCCTATAATTACCATACAGGTGGAAATCCTGATTTACTGAAACTTGCTTAGTATATGTAAGGGACCACCCGGCGGCACTCTAGCAATCCAAA